GAGGTGGATTGTCTGATCCTGAAAAGCAAAAAAGGGACTGTAAAATATGGATAATTATAGGTTACATCTTTTGAACAACGAGCTCCAGATGTTCCAATAACTGACACTAAGCAGCACCACAGACTGTTCCTGTAAGAATGACAAACCTTAACTAGAGACCGTAGTGACTTAGCTTTGAGAACAGAGCTGCTGGAGTCTACTACAGGTTTTATATTCACATAACACAGTTTAGTACTAATTACATTGTAGTTATTGTTACAATAATATTGACTGCTGATGTAAAAAAAATGTAACTTTTACAGACAGAGTACGCATTGCTTAGATTTTTATGTACAGTACATATATACAGTGGCGGCTGGTGGAATTTTCTCCAGGTGGGGCTACAACTCCAAAATAGACATATCCCAAAAAGCAATCAAACATGTACTAAGTTGTATCACACCGTGTATTTATTAAACAAATGACAATAATAAAACAGCATTACAATGTCATGTAGTGTTTTATTTTTAGTACATANCCCAAGCTCTCACTGCCAAGTATATTGAATGATGAAAATAAACACCACCTCAACTTTGTTCTATCAGTTTCTTTTAGGGCAGTTTTTATTACTTTCTTTAGTATTTGGTACCATGGCCCTTAAACAGAACTGTGTAACTGAGCCATGTTTGTAGGCTGCCTTGCTCCACATGCCTTTACAGCTTTGACCATAAATCTTCTATAGATCAGGGCTTTGTGATGGCCACTCCAAAACATTGTTATCCTTGAGCCACTTTGAAACCAGTTTGGTGGTATGCTTCAGCTCATTCAGCTCAGGCTACAAGCTTTCCCCTTTTTCTGATTTGACTGGACTACAGTTTGGACGGCTTCAGGTTTTACACGATCACAGTTCAGGTTTTAGACATTTTGTAGATTCTGCCACAGAATGTTCAAATTAATTCAATTCAATTCAGTTCAGTTTATTTATATAGCGCCAAGTCACAAAAACTGTTGTCTCAGGGCACTGTACACACACAAAAAAATATCAAAAGAAGACGCCAGCAGACTGCGCTGTCCTTCTTTTAGACTGTGTCGGGGTGGAACGCACCATTAGCCATGTTCAAATTAACCATAGAGATGATGTTTTTCAAAACAGCTCTTCTTGTTTCCACAACCTTTACACACATTCTACACTTCATGCATCAAACGTGGATATTTTTGTCTTCTTTCATCTAGTGTGTTTCTGCTATAGGACTTATGGTTTTCTCTCAAATCCCCCCAGAGTGCAAACACTCAAAACTCCCAGTGACTTCCATTGTCTGAGCTCAGAAAATCTCTCTTCAAAGGGTTTATGAATTGGACTGCATGGTATCAGTTACTTTGTTTGTCCACTGGTTCACAAGACACTCTGCTAACAGACAATGTTTACTTTAGCAGTTAAAAAGTTTTAAATACAAAGTTTGTGTCAGTGATGATTTTCAGCTTCAACCATGCAAATATTTACCTAAAAACCTGTGAACGGACGGAGTCACTTCTGTGTTTGCTGAGTTCCATCACCAAGACTGGCTTCCCTGTCTCAGGTCTGCCTCTTTCTGTTAAGTGCCACACGCTGCACATAAATACATGAGACAATTAGGGATGCACCGATGTGCAAATTTCAGCCAATATCAATATTATTATTGGTGTTACGGCCGATAACCAATATTTACCCATATTACACAAACACACAAATTATTTTTATACATATCCGCACAAATACACTTGTGTCTTTTTCGATACCGTAAAAAAAAAAGACCAGACATGGCTCTAGTTCAGTCATTCCTGGCTGTGCAGCATCACTTAACACTGTCAGGATCAAACAGATAGCACTCGACCAACCATCTCCCCTCCTTCCAAAACAAAAACACAAAGATAACAAGATAGAACTCGACACCAATCGTCACTGATGTCTCCCGTCGCCATTCAGTAGTAACCAACTGTTAGCAGTTTTGTTGAAATCATCATAGGCCTTCATCTTTTTTTTTTGTTCCACTCTTGAAGGAGTAATGGTGCATTCACACCAAATGCGATTTCAGCATCAGGAGCATCAGGTTTACATGCAAAGTCTATGGTGGACGCGCTTCAAGCAGCGTCGGGAAGTTCTGCGGCGCCTCAAGCGCGATTAGAGCAGCACGATTTGAACGATTTGAACGATT